AAAAAAAAAAAAAAAAGATTGGTGCTTCTTAACAGAAGCACACATTAGAGTCAGGTAAACTAATTTTCTAATATGTGTTATGTGTTTGTCAGGAGCAGGGGTTCTTATTATCAGAAAAAAGCAGAGCTAATAGACGCTAAGCAAACAAAGCAATAACCTTGAGTAAAATAAAGTTGTGATAATGCCTAGACCACAGACACTGGTGTGAAAAACGTACATGGCAGCACTTTGTACACGGTGGTTCTCTGCTTACACATTAAATGTCATCATTGTTGTCAGACCGGAAAATCTCTGACAGCCTAGGATCTGGCTGAAATCTACGGCCGACTTGGGGTTGTGCTGGACCGTTGATCACGGAGACATTTTAGGGCAAGTCTGGGCAGATAGCAAGAGGGACCAGATGAATCTCCACTCCCAGATTTTGATGAGTGGCATAACCTTTGAGTGCAAACAGGGGTGCCTGGGTGGGTGGCTCAGTCAGTTAAGCATCTGACTTCAGCTCAGGTCATGATCTCGAGGTTCGTGGGTTCGAGCCCCGCATTGGTCTCTTTGCTGCCAGCTCAGAGCCTGGAGCCTGCTTCGGATTCTGTGTCTCCCTCTCTCTCTGCCTCTCTCCCGCTCATGCTCTGTCTCTCTCAAAACTAATAAACACTAAAAAAAAAGAGAGAGAGAGAGAGAACTGTTAGTTGCCTGCCCTCCTGCTCTCAGGGAAGGGAGGGAGAAGGTAGGAAAACTGGAACAAAGTTGCTGTAAGTTGGGATGTGAGGGTTAATACCAACCCTGTTGATTCTCCCTGGGATGAGGAGCTCTTGGGAAGACAGGGGAGAACCTGGACCGCTGGGTTGTGTGGGAAGAGTACTGGAAGTATGGCATGGATACCTCTGCTCCCCCTCCAAGCCTCAGGAAAAAGAGAAGGAAGATTTTGTTGAGACAAGGCTCCTCCTTTTATCAGAGTACCAGATAGCAAGGTGGGGTGTAGGGGTGAGGCCCACGGATGGGTGGGAGGCAGCCCTTCCAGGATGTTGTCCGGCTCTGCATGGCTCACATCTGGATGGGACCCAATTCAGCCGGAATGTGAAAGACAGCACCATCTGGAAAATTAGCAGAATAGTCAAGGAGAAGGAAGTCCACGTAGGGACAGGGTGTGGTGTTTTTTGTTTTTTGTTTTTGTTTTTGTTTTTTGTCTTTCACTACAGGTGCCCCTCTGTGATGCGAATCTCTGTGAATTTGAGGGCATAACCACAACACAATCTGTTTATTACCTATGTTTGTTTCTGATGGCAGGTCACTGTTTTCATTCATTTGGCTGCATAACAAAACACCACAGGCTGGGTGACTCATAAACAACAGAAATGTAGTTCTCACAGTTCTGGAAAATGGAAGGCTGAGATTAGGGTATCAGTGGGCTCAGATGAGGTCCCTGGTCTCAGTTGGAGACCGTGGACTTCTCATCACGTCCTCACATGGTAGGGCTGGGCCAGGGATCTCTCAGAACTTCTTTCTTTTTTGTTGCTTTCATGTTTATTTTTGAGAGAGAGTGAGAAAAAGACGGACCACGGGCCAGGGAGGGAATCCAAAGAAGAATCCGAAGCAGGCTCTTGAGTAAAATAAACACAGAATCTGAAGTAGGCTCCAGGCTCTGAGTTGTCAGCACAGAGCCTGATGTGGGGCTCAAACTCACAAACCATGAGATCATGACCTGAATTGAAGTCAGATGTTTAACCTGCTGAGCCACCCTGGTGCCCCTCAGAACCTCTTTTATAAAGGCACTAATCCCATTCATAAGGGTTCCACTGGCAGGATTTAAGCACCTCCCAAAGGTCCCACCTACTAATACCGTCACCCTTGCTGGTTACGGTTTCCACATGTGAATCTGGGGGGTGGGTGGGAGACACATACATTCATACCATAGCAATCACAAAAGTGCCGGCCCAAGGACACAAGGCAGTTCAGAGCCCAAGCAGAGCCAAGGTGGCTGTGGTATCTATTTGCACTAGCATGGAGTTGAAGGAAAAAAAAAAAGGAAGGCTGAGTTCTAATCTCCAGTCTTTTGCTGAATTACTCATCACAAACAGTCACACATTTTGTAATTCAGTTTTCCTTTTCTGTGACTCATAAAAGTATTTTAAAGGTTAACAGTAAATGATCCTGACATACTTTCCAAACACTCAAAGCTATGAGGCGACTCCACTCTGCCCACTTAGAGGACAGAACTTGGCTTACCTCCACATTCGTCGTTCGCCAGCACGCTGCCCTAGAGGGAGGTACACAACAAATAAGTTTGTTGTTGATGGACCCGCGCTCTGGGTCGTTCTTGGTTTTACATGTTTCCTACAATGAAGAGAATTAATTGGGAAACCCTGTTGCCAATTTCTACTATTGTAAGCTCTGTACCTATGATACCTGTACTGTATGTAACTTTATTTCTTCTTTCTAGAGCCCCATAGGTCAGAGCAAACCACAACTTTTCCAAGGATTACAACTGCTTTCTGCAGAGTTCATGGCTTTCACCCCCCCCCAGAAATTTGCATGATCTGGTTGAAAAACAGGGAATAAATTGTCTAAGAAAGAGGTTATGGAGACATTCTTCCCGACGGGGATGGAACTTATCAGACACGGGTATCAGTTGAGCTGGGTCCTCAGAGCAACTGAGGACTCCTTCCCGTGCAGATTGTGGCCTCTGCATGGCTGTTCAGGTCCCCCAGGGTAACAATGGGTTGTGGCTATCTGGAGATTGAGAGTGAGGAACAGTGGAAAGCAGGAAACACCATGTGCTTTTTAAAATCAGTGGTTCTCTCACATTTTGGCCTTAAAGTTCCTTTCTTCTTAAAAATTATTGAGGACACCAAGGAGCTTTTGTTTATGTGAGTTATATCTATTGCTATTTACTGTCTTATCAATTACAAATGTAAAAGATTTTTAAGTACAAGAAAACACAAGTACGTATCTATAAGCCATCAGAGAGAGGATGTCATCACACATCAGGTAGCCTCTAGAAAACCCCACCGTGCACATGTGAGAGATTAGGATTAAAAAAAAGGGGGGGGAATCGTGATGTAGACCTCATAGGCACCCTGAAAGGGCCTTGAGACCCCCTGGGGCATTCGGACCACATTTTGGGAACTGTTGTTCCTCTGTTTTCATTTATTACCCCACCTGAAGCTGTGAAGTGAGAGGTAACAGTAAGAAAAGTAGTGTTGGGCTGCCTGCCGATCACAGGGACAAAAGTCCCCAAAAGTTAGCATAGAAGGGGAGGGGGACTTGTGGATTTTTCCTCTCTTGCTTGTGTTCAGAACCAGACAGCTGAAAGCTGTTGTTGGGTTCACCAACCTAGGAGCTGGAATTGGTCCTAGCCTGGGGCGGAAGGCCCGAGCTGTGAGGCACCTGGAGGTAGGGGCTATAAAGTATACAGACTGTTACTCCCACCGCTCATTTTCTGCACCCGCCCCCCCAAGCTCCATTTAGGAATGGGTTGGGCCTCCCTTTGTGATCACAGGAGGGCCTGGAACACCTCTCCCATGGACGATGCTTGTGAGGACAGTGGTCTGTTTCACAGGTAGGTGATGCCTGACGCCTAAACATCAGCAAAGAAGCACAGCTTCTGTCCAGGTGAACTGTCCTCCTAGAAGGTGACTCAGAGAAGATATGGTAATCTTGATTTGTCTTTTTCCAAACTATACCTTTATTATTAACTAATACCAACTTTTGAGGGGATTTTATCCTTTGTTTCAAGACTTTAGTAAGTTTTCCCATTTTAACACTTTTCTCCCTGAAATCATGTGAAAATCCTTTTCCTTCTAAAATCATCTTTCAGGGCTGTCTGGGTGGCTCAGTCTGTTAAGCGACCGATTCTTAATTTCTACCCAGGTCATGATCTCAAAGTCATGAGATCAAGCCCCACATCGGGCTCTGTGCTGAGGGTGGAGCCTGCTTGGGATTCTGTTTCCTTCTCTCTGACCCTCCCCTCCTCATGTGTGTGCGTGCGTGCATGGGCACACTTGCTCTCTAAAAAACAAAAACAAAAACAAAAACAAACATCTTTCAACACATGAAATATTGAAGAGTATATACCTTTGGAAAATGGGGTTCAGGGTAAGGAAAAGGGAAAGGAGAAATGGGAGATATACAGGTTCTTGATACCTTGGGGAAAAATGAATTCATTCACTAACTATGTATTTAATACCTACTATGTGCTAGGCACTGTAGTGGATGCTGGGATATAGCAAAGGACAGACGTAATTCCTGTGGTCAGAGAGTTTACAGACTAGTCTTATAAGGTCATTCCCCTGCCTCTGGCTTCATTAGATGCACAAATTGATCACAGCTTAATATTAGTGACACTTGGATTATGGGTTTGAGCCCACTGTGGGCTAAGAGTTTGGCTTTGCTTCATAACCACAGACTTCAATCTCAATTCTGGTGATAGTGTACAAAGCATATTATTAGGTCAAAGTAAGACCAACCCATTTACTAGAAAATCAACTCAGAGAGTTGGTGAGTCATTAATGTTTTCTTTATAAGTATAGTAGTGATCCCAATCCAGGAAGTAATAGCTGCTGAAGAAAAAAAAATTAACAATGACACACCCCTTTCAAGAATGATACACACTGAGTCCCTTCTTGTGGAGTCTGTGAATTCGAGTTAAAATCTGTCAAGTACTAAGAGAATCTTGACAAAACAGGCTAAAAATGTCCATGCTGGCTTGTCAGATTTTGCTGAGCATTGTGTGATTTGTTTTTGAGCTACAAGGAAAATTGCATATATCTGACTAAAGACTTTTCCTTTCAAAGCAAAATGGAGTCCATCAACCTTCTTACACCAGATCTATGATTGGAGATAGCTCTTTTCCAGTTTTTCCTCTAGGAAGCATGGTCCCCCATCCCCGATGGACTCAAGTCCAGTGCACAAAAAAATCTTGACCACATCCACAATACACACATGGATATCATCGGTTTGAGTATTTATGGCAGAAATATAGGAAGTCATGAAATTTTTGTGAAATTAGAGAATCTCAGAGCTGGAGGGAACCTTCTGATCCAGGGAAGGAGATGTCTTCTACTGTGCCTCTGACTTGAGCATCCAGCCCCCACTGGAAAACCGCCAGTGCAGGGCAGCTCACTACACCATAACATGGTCTTTCTCTTCTTTCATGAGAATGTTCATTATGTAAGAGATTTGAACATCACAGATGCCTTTGCTGTGACCCTACAGACAGGATTGGACCAGCCCAGGAGATTAGTCAGTGAGTTTCTACAATGACCTGTGAGTGGCTGGATCATTTTACACATTTCCTGGCCTGAGAGAAAGTGAAAGTGCCTGTTCTTATGGCAAATCTTCCAGGTAGCTTGGAATCTTGGAAGTATGCCTGGCCCGATCTGTGGAAGTCATCTCATTCTTTCCGATTTTTGTAGGAAAATCAGAACACTAATGATCAGACATTCTATCACTTCAGTGGAACTACAGTGACCTAGACCCAATTGCAACCTTTGGTGAAAAAAAATGATAGTATATCTCTGTCTCAGAAGAGGGTTCAAGTTGTCCTCTATTGGCTTCTGGTAGATGGGCCTGACTCACCTTTATGCATATGCTCATTCTCCATATATATGCACTGGGAATAAATAAAAGCCCCACAGTGAGAACGAACATCCTCACGATCCTCCTTGCTCCCCTAAAATCCTCACCACCATTTACCTCTGGTCCTGTTGAATTGCTGATCCTAGGATCGATGTCAATTACACTCGTCTACCCACTTCCGTGGATAAAGCTCCTATGGCAAGTGTCTCTTTCCTGGTGCCAGCTGACTTGCAGAAGAGCACAACTGTGTCTGCTTATTTTGGATATATATATATATATATAT